CTTTTTTGCCGAATTTCAAAAAACTGAAGCGACAGTTTTGTTCAGAATTTTTTGCTGATTCCGAAAATATATATTTTATCTTATTTTATTGGGGGCCGCAAAGTGGCCTTATCCGCCTCCCTCCTTTATGATACTAGTGACTTAGAGGGTATCCTTCCACCGTTGTTAGAAATGGCACCAAATTTAAATTGATTAGATATACATTATCCACAACTTGTTATAATAACAGATCAATTTAATGATTTCGAACTATGTACACTATTAAATAGTCAAATTCGTCATTTAGTTTTGTTGAATGAACCCTTATCAGAAGATCAAGACATGTGTTTATGTGTATTCTTAAATTTAGAAAGTTTTAGTGTTACTTTAGAAACGAACCGTGATTGCAATGAAATAGTGCCATTGATTTTGAATAGAATGACGAAGCTACAAGGTCTATTAATTGAATTAAAAAGAGAAGAAGTCTTAGGTGCATCCACAGTAGATGTACAACATCTGTTAGAACAAGAAACACAAGCGTTTTCTTATGAACTAATTAAACCGTTTACTATTGGCCTATGGATGGGAAATAGAAAATCAAACTAGTATTGCGTGTTTAACTTTGTTGTTAAAGCAATTTTTTATTTTTGACAATCAGCAGACTAAGATGTACATATACATATCATTTATTCATAAAAACTTGTGTGCCTTATTTTCTCATTAATACAGACTCGGCGCCATAAGTTATACAAGTGGAAGAAAATTATTTAACCAGCGGCATCAGCTGGAGAAGAGTGCTGTATTTAGCAGTACTCTTCGCATAAAAGAGCTGGCCGTTTACCACTGCTCGAGTTTTCAGCTATAAGCCACCGCCCACCGATGGGACGGTGGTGTTTGCAAAAACCGACGTCGTTTCAGTGTCATATTCTTTCATCCATGTTCGTTTTTGTTTATTGTTTAATATTTGATATTTTGATCATTTGTTTCTCTATGCCACTACCTTCTACTAAGAATAAATCGTCTTGGACCATTAGTATTCCAGCACTGATGATCCTAGAAAAATAAAGCGATCACGGATAATGTGTAAAATTAGATAGCTAACTGAATCACATACAGCATGAAATAAATATAATAAGTGCATGTAGTTAAATCTTCAACAATAAATATTCTTGATTTGAAGTTGTATATTTGTGAAATTCGTTACTTTATGATAAATCCTCAATTGCGCTGCTGTGCTTTCTGCTCTATGATTTTCTTTTTGCTTTCCTTCTCCATGATATTCGACAGTGAATAACCGGCGTCACTGAAAATACATCTAACTAGCTTGTCAGGGTTTTCCTAGAAGCATTT